GGAGGATCTGCTGTTCAGCGGCAGCCGCTTGGTGTGGACGGTGACGGTGGCAGCGCTGAGGAGATGGTATGCTGCCCGGCTCCGGGCGTGCCGGCAAGCACTGAGAGCATGGTGTGGTCTGCGCGATGTCTACCAGGTAAAACACCCCCTGGACATCCATCCCCGCGGGTTTGGACTGAGAGCATCGCGGCACCTGCCGGGTGTGTGCTCACTCAGCACTCTGCTCCCTCCCTGCGCATCCCTGGGACGGGGCAGGTGATGCAGAGCATCGTGGCAGAGCTGGGGAGATGCTTGGAGCTTCCTCCCCTGGGTCTGAGCTGGTGCGTGGTGTTGTTTTCAAATTGCCGGCACCGTGCCTAAGTTCAAAGGGTTGGGGGAATTATTTTCTGTGCCAAATAAGGTTTATCAGTTAGTTTCTCGAAATGTGTTTCAGCAGCCAGCTGCCCTCGGGGCAGGTGATGCAGAGCATCGTGGCAGAGCTGGGGAGATGCTTGGAGCTTCCTCCCCTGGGTCTGAGCTGGTGCGTGGTGTTGTTTTCAAATTGCCGGCACCGTGCCTAAGTTCAAAGGGTTGGGGGAATTATTTTCTGTGCCAAATAAGGTTTATCAGTTAGTTTCTCGAAATGTGTTTCAGCAGCCAGCTGCCCTCTCCTGCCCCTGTGCCAAATAAGGTTTATCAGTTAGTGTTTCAGCAGCCAGCTGCCCCCTGTGTCCCTGCCCCTTGGAGCTCCTCTTGCTGCTGTCACCACCCCTGCACTCAGGATTTGGGGGACAGAGCTCCCCACTGTGCCCAGGCTGCCATCAGGCACTCAGAGCACGATGCTCCCATGGGAGAGACTGGTGGGAGCTTTTTCTGCTGTGTGTTTGTTTCATTGAGTAGTGGCAGCTTGTAACGTGATAGTCCTTTGCATTGCAAAGGGATTGCTGTTTGGGGGGCTGCAATAAGTCCTGAAACAGCAATTGTTGGACTCCCCTTCCTGCAGGCAGAAAACACAGCCCTGTGCTTGGAGTTACTGCCGTATCCAGTTGCAGCGAGGGTGGTGTCACTCTTTTTGGAGTCTGTTTTTGCTGGCAGTTAGTTATTTCTGTGAGTCTGTATTTCTGTCTCAGGTCCTGCCTGGTCAGTGTGCGTGTTTGCTACATTCTGTTCTATATTTCAAAGCTGCTTTTCCCCTCTCCCTGTTGTGTTGCAATACAGAGAATGACACAACTTGTAGCAAACAGCTCTGCAGAAGCATCAGAATGTAACTTGTGTGAGAAAGTCATGCTAACAGGACATCTGTGCCTATTTAATCCGAAAGGGATCTGTTGCTATTTAGCTTTAAGGTATGCTCAGGAGTGGGACAAGAGTTTTATGGTGATAGAAGTACTTCCAAGTACTTGAATGCATCTTGGCATCCCATACGGATGATGGATGTAAACACTTTGTGATGTGTGACAGATGTATCACTTGAGGAATAGGGATCATGTGTAGTTGGGGAATGCTGGAGTAAAGGCATCATTGCTCCCCATTTGCCCACCTTCACTGACCTGAAGGAGTGTGTTGGGATGCAGTCCTGGCTCTCTTCTTTCTCTGTTAATAGAATCCAACTACACCTGTACTGTGTGGGTGTTATTTTTGGAGTCCATTCACTCAAGGAGTGTGGAGCTTAGGCTGCCTTTGCTCCCTGCTGCATCCCCATGGAGGCAAACCTCATCCCTCCAGGGCTGGAATAATGGCTCAGTGAGGACCAGCTCTGACAACAGCTGTATTCAGCCTGTTCAGCTGCCATTCTCTGATGGTTGGCTTGAAGTGAAAAGAGTTTTTTTCCAAAACAAAGTGCAACTCTATCTCTGCCCAAACCTACTGTGTCCTTGTGGCTGTTGGGGGATTAATCTTGTCTTTTCTTTATGAAAAGCATCACTGACTTGTGCCTGTATCTGAAAATGAGGATATGTAAATGGGTAAAGAGAGGAGATTGGCTCTTCTGTCATCCTTCCAGGCAGCCCTTGAGCCAGGGGAGTGGACAGGGAGTGCCTCTTCCCTTCTCCCCTCTGCCCACATCTTGTCACAGCCAGGCTGCTGGGGAAATGCAGGGACCTGTTGCTCCACACTCACCAGTCTGAGGGTCATCCCTGGGAGATGAAACTCAGCAGAAACAAGACAACTCTCGCATTTTAACATCAGGAATTTCCTAGTGGTAATTTGGGGTGTATTAATGTGAGATGGCTGAAAGAATGCCCTGCAGCCCTTCCTTGCTGGGTTGCATAACACATTGCTTTTTGTGCTGAAGTCTTGGATCTTGGCTGCTCAAACCCCTGGCTGAGTCCAGTGAGCACAGGACTGAGTACACAGCATTAAATGTCACCCCACCATTTAGATACCAGAGCCCTGCAAGAGGTGCAATCAAAATAGTTTTCTCTTTCCTTTTTTTTAAGCCCTTCAAGCTATGGAAACAGCTAGAGATGGTAGCTGGGTGACCCTTATGTACAGGGATGAACTCTGAGCCATGCAGGGTTACACTTGCTCACCTCAGGCTCAACAGAGCAAACCAAAACCAAAACATGCGGTGCAGAGCTCTCGGTGGGGTTGTTTCTATGAGGAGGTGGATGTTGCAGTGTCTATGGGACTTGGCTCTAATCTTAGGTTTGAGATTGTGTGTCCCATCACCACCATAGATCCTGCGTTGCCTTGAGCAAATTGTCTTCCTCCTCTGTGCCCCTGTTCTTTGTACAATGGGTATAACAGCACTCTCCTACCTGCCAAGGATGGTCTTTGTCCTCAGAATTTTGCTAGAAGCCCTGTAGTTAGTGCAGCCACATGAAAACACCTTTTTTGTCCTGTGTTCTCATTAAAATTGACACCTGGACAGGTGTTTAACAAAGTCCTTTCCCACCTTGGCTGCATGGAGAATGCTCCTATTTCTGCAGCTCCTTTACATTCATATTCCAGGTGTGAAAAATACCACAGGTTATATATACAGGCTCTTTTGACTCAACTTACACCTTTGTCCTCACTGAGGGCTCCCTGGGCTGTGCATGGTGTAACAGATCAGGAAACAAGACAGAACTTTGTCACTGAGCTACATACAAATGACACCCTGGGAAGGGTGAGGTGACAGGCACTTGTGCTGCTGGTCAGCCCTGGAGGCTTCAGTTCCCTTTGATCCATATTTGAGGTTCACATTGTTTTGTGGGTAAGTGGCTATTTTCGGGTGAGTCGGACACTGCCAGTAGGTCTTTGTTTAATCACTTCACTGTGGTGAAGGGAAAACCAGCAGGATCCCTTCTCCTTGGGCTGCTGCATTTGTTGTTGTGGTAAGGGGATGTTTTGGTCTTTTTAAAATATAAAATGCTTGCCAGCCTCATGGGAGCTCAAGTCCCAGCACAGAGAAGGACTAACACCTTCGTGTGCCAATGCAGGGTTCTCACCTCTCTTTTGAAGCTGGCAGGTGTGGAGGTGGGCACGTGGGCAGCACCGTCTGGCCAGGGGAGACTGAAATCCTCTCTGCCAACATAAAGCCCTTACCTGCCTTAGCAGCTTTAAGTACAACTAAACCCCACCACAACAAGAACAAACTACCCTCTGCCAGTCATCTCCTGAGCCTTCGTGTTTCTGGCATGCATGTGTGGGAAACACCTTCATGGTCTTACCTGTTGTTTCACCTGGTCTCTGGTGAAGGGACATCAGCCCCAGCCCAGCAAGCCAAGATCAGGTACCTCCCCAAGCTGGTCCCTGCTCCAGGGTGTTTGCCATCATCTGTCCCACCTGGTGAAAGAGATGTCCTGTTTGCCCAGTGCCTATTCATCCGGAGAAGGTTGTGAGCCAAAGTGCTGCTGCAGTGTCCTGTCTCACTCTCAAATAACCCCAGAATCAGCATGAGCAGAGTGGGACTCTGCAGTATGTGAGCTTATCCTCTGTGAGAGCTTGGGTTGCATGCCAGGGAACATTGTCTTGTCCATGGCAGGGAGCATTTGAAGCCTGTCCTAGAAAGAACAGACTTGCAGAGACAGCTGATAGAAAAGCTGGCACAGGTCTTCTTTCTAACAGCAGCAAGTCAATATGAGTTATTGGGACTGTAAGGGCTTGGATGGAAAACATCCTGGTTAAGAATTCAGCATAGAACCCTTCACACCAGGGTTCTCATTTGCTACCAGAGAAACGAGTGAGAGTTGTGTTTTGTGGTGGAGCTCTGGCATATAGTGCTGTGGCCTGCAGCTAAGCTTTGGGAGGTCTTTACAGAGCCCCTCTTGATGCCCAGGACAGGACAGCATGGCATTTCTAGGTGTCCTGATACTCTTACAGAAGAAAGCTTTCTGCAAGGCTCTCCACATGCTGGTTTTATAGGCCACCTGTTTTAGATTTAATTATAGAGCAGTAAAACAAAGTGAAATTTTTATATAAATGAGGTTAATAAGCAGTGGTAAAGCCAAAAACTTTCAGGATTAACATCTGTCCTGTGTTTAGTTACCTGTATTGCCACTGGCCTGACTTATTTTCACTAATAGATTTCGGGGCATGTCTTCCCCTGAGGTATCAGTACCAATTTTCACCTATACATCCCACAGCACACTCATTCCTCATGCTTTAAGCATGAAAAATGTTGCATCGAAGTCTATTTGATGATGCAACTATCATTTGTGAATTAAAAACTGATCAAGTGAATGCTTTAGTGTCAGGGTTAAAATGTGTACCAGTCAGAGTGCTCCATGCAAAGTGAAAATAACTAAGGCAAACATTCCCCAAACTCCCTGCAGAATACAATGACATGTTGTGATTGATCTGCTGGATGTGAAATCAAGTATGAGAGCATCTCTGTGATTAAGCAGTTTACAAATAACTGTGATTACCAGTTACACTAGTAATTTGGCTATTAAATTCTGGCGTAAAAGTGTAAACTGAATTCGTGTGGGTCTTTTGGACCAAGTGCTTTTTAACCTCTGAAAGGTCATTTCCTCTGTGTAAAATAGAAAAAGTTTTGCTGATGAAGCACAATAAATCAACTTTGTATGTGTGTCTGGCCCATATGTACCTGGGGTGGAGGAGAGAGAGAGGAAGCAGCGACTGACTTCTGTTTCCTCTGCTGCTAATGTAGTTGGTTTGGATAGTGAGCACCATGTTTCCTCTGCTACCACACCTTAACTTTTCATTGTAAAA